ACCGAAGTGGAGAGCGGGGGCATGCAGGAAGGCTGCCATCTTATCTTCATCTGGTATCCTCCAGGTCAGTGGGATTAAATGGCCAAAGTAATGAAAAGACGACTCAAACAGCTCTGCGGGATCTCGCAGGATCGTGATGTATACGGAGTCTCGGGGCAGCACTCTGGCCACCTCCGCTGCACTGAAGCGCATGTGGTTACAGATGATGTTGAAACACATTCCGGGTTTGAAGCCTTTAACATATGTGTGGTGAAAGTACGACGGGTAGGAGAAGTCATTTCTGCTGTCGGGGAAGGCAAATTTGAGATTGTGCTTCTCTCCAAATCGGCAGAGGATGTTGAGGAAGGTGCTGCTGGCGGTTTTATGGGTCTTCATAAACATGATGTCCTTTTTGGGGAAGCATTTGTGCGTGTCTCCCTCTGAGTTGTTTGTGGCTGGATGAGCACCGTGTCGGTGCTGTAGATCACAGGAGAGAGGCACAGGGAGGCTGGGAAAAAACACAATACGATGTAGAATTAAATCACTCTTTTTATAAAAGTTTTAAACTAAGTACACACACACACACACACACACACTCGAGTTAGGAGTGCTCAACCAAGCTCCACCTTTCTGCTCAACACATTTTATATTATTTTTATAACAATAATATAAAATATTTTTTTAATTATTATTATTTTTTATTTTCATTATATTTGTTTATATCTAAGTTTTTGATGCTTAGATGGGGGAGATTTTAATTTAATTAATTAATAGTATATTTCTGGGTGGCTGGAATGAATTAAGTGTTTTTTTAGTTATTTTTAATGGGGAAAATACATCGAGATACGATAGGCTGTTGTGGAACAGATTAAACTTGTATCTAGGAGGACCACTGTGGATGGATAGATCCAGGGAAACTGATTAAAATCAGGACTTTGAACCTGAGGTTAATCATTAACCAGTTTGCTTTTGTGGACAGAGATGATATGAAAGGGCTGACAAAAGATTTCGCCCATGTACCAGTACGGGTCCGGTGGTGGCTGATTGGTCAGTGAGACAAAAAGGGTTGGGGATTACTGCTTCTACATTTTATATCTATATAATGCATCTTATTTGTAATTATTTAAATAAAATAGAAGACACTGACTCTGGTGGCCCAGTATGGAACTGCAGTGTAAACAGGCAGTACAGCAAAACCATACTGGCGATGAAGCAAACCACGGCGACATGTCTGGTCATAAACCGCCACGGTTTCTGCGGCAGTGAAGAGATGAAAAACATCACCTTTAGAAAAGAGGAGCAATGGACACCCATTAACATTATAAATGTATCACAGGCACACCTACACACACACTGTAAAGGCGCTCTGTTTCTTCCTCTTTTTCTTTTACACATAATCACTTACATGAATACATATGGTTGTTAACAATTGTGGCCAAACACAAAGTCATAAAGATTATGTCGAGCTCACACCCAAAGAGCAAAGGTTGTAGACGGTAGAAATGAACCATTAGACCGTAGTTACGTGCTGGTCAATACTGACTGTGGCTTTAAGGTTTATTTGATTGTTTAACATAAGAGGTTTATAAGGCAATATTAGGCTTTTGTGAAGGTATTTTTTATAGATGACTTTATAGATGTCTTAACGTTAATTGATATTGTTTTTAACTGGTTACTTAAAACAAACGGTATAACCATTATTAGGTTACGTTGCTAATAACGTAACCTAATTTTATCACATAAAAACCTATAATAATAGCTTTATTCGTAATGTCGCACCAGGAAGTTGACAAAACCCAAAAGTACACATACAGTATTATATGACTCTCGATATAAGCTTAAATGAATATAAAATATTCATTATTAATATTAAAATTACACTAATGTAATGTAATATTATTTATTATTATTAATCTGTTGTTACCCCTTTGTGTCGACTGTGAAGTCCGATTCTAACCTGCGTCTATTTTTTACATTAAAATATCGTTTAGAACAACAGATAGAACATAGACTGAGCCATAACAAATAGGAAATGATAAACATTAATGATAAAACCCATTATAGATGAGAGGTAAACACTGAACCTACCATTTGTGTAGCATGTCAGTTGTTGGGCAGTCCCACTGTGACTATGAATCCAGCGCTGGTTTGAATTTCTTATCTTTATGGACTTGCCTAGATGCTGCAAAAGAGTGTGAGAGAGAGTGAGAGAGAGAGAGAGAGAGAGAAGAGAGAGAGAGAGAGAGAGAACAAATAAACTCCCATCTCTCAGTATCAAACTCTGAAACTCATTTTTCTGAATTGAACTCGGTATGTTAAAGGTATATGATATGAATATATATTATCATAAATCATACCCTTTTCGTTCCCTGCTCACAGTGACACAAACTAACAGTGTTTCTTTAATTAGAAGAACTAAAAAAAATCACACTATGACAAAAAGAAGAAGTATCCCGTCAACAAAAATGTTGGAATTGCTTCAGTAACTGAAAGTAAAAATAAAAACTATTCTCTTCTTCTCTTAAATATCTTCTTCAGAACAGTGGAATCAAACAAGCAGATTAAACCAGACCGGATTACAAAGCCCAGCAGGCCGCATCTGGCCCACGGGCCATAGTTTTCCCATGTCTGTGATATATAAATATATATCAATCTGTCAACCTGTCTGAATCCTTTCATTGTTGATGTAAGGTAATGTACAGTACCTTACCCTTTCTCCGGAAAAAACGTACTCATCACAGAGGTGTTTGCTACCTTCTTTGGACCTGCGTCAGGGGATCATAGTTTGATGTAACTTAGTGAGATTATTATATTTGACCTGTGACCTTTGTGGCAATGTTATTAATTGGCTTTTTATGTTTCATCCTCACAGCTGTGCCTCTATTAATTCAACAGGAAGCCATTTATGAAGGTGATTTAAGTCCTGGCCATCTGGTCACGGGTGTTATTACGAAGGACATGGGTTCTTAAAAGTGAATGAATTGACTCAGATTTTAATCAATGCTCACAATGTATGGTTAATACATTATATTATAATGTGGACAAAATATATATCATTTTAGTTGCCAGATGTTTTTTTTTTGTTGACACATATAATGTGAGGGCAGCAGCAACATTATTATCAGATCAGTGGTCAGGCCAGAAGAACTGTATGTACGTTGAACTTTCAACCTAAATGTTTCCTATAAAAACATGAAACATTCCATAAACATCTTTCTTTCGTGCAGCAAATATGGAGTGTACACACATACATATGCGAAAGCACCATTTATTCACCTGCTGGTACTCTTGTGGACCTGCTGATCATTAGTCAGATTTAAAGTTATTCTCACGTTCCAATGTGAGGAACCGCATACCTGGAAGGTAAACACCATTTATTTTGAAAGTTGTGTTGGAATGCTACGTTTGCAACAAGCAAAAAAAAAAAAAAAAACGGACTCCTGCATTTGTTGGGGCTTGATACGCCACGCAGATGTTCAGAACACCACAGGGAACGCTCTGACCTTTAACCCTTTTAAATTATTTCAATTAATATCACTATTGGCAAAAGGCTGTTGTACTACAGCTAGCTTGGATATGGGGTGAATTTGGATGAAATCTGATGTTTTTTACTTTGAAAGGAAACTCACCCTTCACATTTTCTAGGACAATGTGTTGATTGGTGGACAAAAACAAACAACCTGCAGCCTCTGGGCAGACGATGGAATGACGAGGGAGGATAAGACGAAATAAGTGTTAAAGTGAAGGGAATGAGTTAGTAATTACAGAAGAAATCAAGTCATCTAGTTTTGTAGAAGGCTACAGTTTGTTTACTACTAATTTGGGGTTTGGTTCATTAAACTAGTTCCATCTCCATGTTACTGAAGTGCTGCGTTTATGTGGTCAGAATAATGAAAGCAGAGTTGTAATGGCGAACCGTCTACGAAGAGCTTATCACGCCTTCCCTTTCGTTGTTTGATGGACACTTCGGTACAAAGTTACCGCAGCTGAGAGTTGTTAATGTTTTTAACATCGCACATCAGCGTTGTGTTTACATGCCGTTTATTGTACAAAGCGGCTGACTGGGTAACGAAGGGAGACCCTATTACAAACAGGCCTCTGGGAAACCGCCCGACGTTTGCATCATTCTTATTACACCTCCGCAAAACACATCCAAAATTCTCCAAACAGCTTGTGCAGCATGAGCTTTGTTTTATGAACAAACTGCCCTGAGGGTCCAACAGACCAATATTTATGTCCACATTCCCTGCCCTCTGGTGGCCTGCAAAACAACAGCAGCAGGCACAGACCGGAACAATAAAGAGAACTCAGAGGAAACCATGAGAATAACGCTGCGATGGAAAATGGATACGTTTTATTTGCGAAATATTTGCTGAGCATTCCTTTACTGCACTGTTACATATACTTAAAAAGACAACACTGCAGTTGATGGCAACATACAAAGTATATGTTTCTTCTGATACAGCACTGCAGCAGAATCCGCGGGGCACCCTGGGGAGGGAAGAGATGGAGATAAATCCATTTTTGATGAGCACTGAAAATCTCCTCACCAGGAAATGGAAAATGAAAAGGAATTCCTGCTTCTCAGCTGCACCACAGTTTTGCATATGAAAAAAGTAAGACAAAGAAATGATAACAATGCGTTTAGAAATAACAACACTGAGCTCATCCTGAATTATTTATGAGGGATGTATCTTAAAGGCAGCGTGCATGTCATGGCCTATATCTACTTCCCTCCCTTTTGAAAACACCAGAGAGCTGATAAGAGATTTTTTAAATTTAGTTTTTTTTTTTAGTTTTGTGTTATCTCATTTCCATAAAATGGTCTGCTGGCATAAGAAGAGTGAGGGGAACAAAAGCTTTTTTTGTTGAAGTTGCAGTACTTATGATGACAGAAGTGGAGCCAGTGTTTGTTCATCATGGCAGTGAAAGACTCCGTTGACTTTGCAGAGGATTTAGAAGTTGGACAAGCAGACTCAATCACATGCTCCCACAGACAAATGAAGGCTGCACACTCAGTTCCTTCTCTCTCCTGTCTCCTCCCGCCTCCCTAATTATGGAACTTCTCTCTGAGTTTTGCCTATTTTCTCACTGCCAGCCCTGCTTGAAGCAACGTTTTGCAACTTTGCACATTCTCAGTGTTGGAAATAGTGATGAAATGGCTTTGCTGAAGCTCTTTCATTTCATGACCCCTGAAAGAGTTGTCAAAATGGATGTGTTAATCACAACAATTCATTAATTAATAGAGATCAAGCTGATTTAAATTGAATGTATTTTAACACATGGGCAGAGCTCTAATTGCTCTAATACACGTGACACATGTTATTAATTCTACCTCAGTGAACTAAGTTAGTCTACGGATGAGAAGCTGACGGCCATAACGGCCAAACAGATCCAATAGCAGCGCAGGCAGGGCAGGTTTTAACACAGTCTAATAGTGAAGCTAACAGGCTCACTACAGTTAGCACAGGTTAATGAGTGATCAGGAAACAACAGGCAACAATTGTAGTCAGGTACAGAGGGTTGGTAGACAAGCCAAAGGTCAAAGGCAAGTCAAGTCAATGTCAGAGACACAGGCAGAAAACAAGTGCTGGGAAATGTGAATGGCAGTAGACAGGACAATAACCTGGCGAGGAGTGGAGCTGTGTATACACTGGGTGGAGCAGGTGAGAGCAGTTACACTGATGAGGGAGTGTGGCTGCAGAGACAAGAATCCACCAAGTCTATGAAGTGACATTTGGAGATACACTTTTACATATTTGTTTTGACTTTTTCCATATTAATAGTTCCATCATTTGCATTAGTCATAAGTAAAACAACAGCTGATTTTTTTACCTAATTTATGATTAGGTAAATTATTTAGTGATGATATTTATCATGATTAATCCAAAGCTAACCTGTGATTAACAAGGTTAAAATTTCACATTTGTGTGACATTTTAATCTGCCCTAGTTTCTAAACACTGATGCCCCAGTTTTTAAACTTTATGACTGTGACCTACATTAAAGGTTCTTCTATCTTTTTAAATTTTCTTTGAGCAGGAGGTTCCACATTATAAGACAAGACTAATGGAACAAACTGATGAGTGATAACTACTGTTTCTAGTAGGATTTCTGGAACATTCACTCTTCCCTTTTATGACAAGATCATCACTTGTTTTTACTTTTACCTAAAATTCATTAACTTCTCACTAACCTGGAGTAGGTCACCTTATTATTGTCTAATTCATATATTATTATTTGTCTCAGAAAGATGTTGAGAAAATAAATCAGTTAGTCTTGTCTGTTCACACTCCCTAACAGTAGGTGGCGATAATATCTCTGAAATGCCACTTGA